TTTGTACCTTGCCGACTTTTACATTTTCCAGTAAGGGTAACTTTCTGTTTAAAGGCTAAATAAACATTTTGTCCAGTTGACAAATTGATTTTCTCCTGTGCCACCTAGTGCATTTGCTCAATTTAATTTCTCTCCAGCGACTAGGTCAGGAATCAGAATACACTAGACGGTTTGCAAGAACCCCGGAAGTTGTGGACGACGCCCGAGCCAACCAGCGCAGAGCTGTGAGGCCGGGATTTACTTGGGCACCACTGAGCGTTTTCATGCATTACATACATCTCGACCAAATAGCAGCGATTGGTTGAATAAAAAAGGTACCCGCCTACCATCGAGCAAACAAATCCTAATACTGTGAGGTCAGACAGTTTCAACAAAGTGAAACTGGCAGATGAACGAGGCTACCACAGTGGGACACCAGTGGCAGAAGCTATCATTGTGTCCTTAGGCAAGACACTTCACTCACATTACAGAGTAAACAATGGCACAGATTGGCAGCCTTGCTTCTATCAGTCTATTCCAGGGCAGCTGTGGCTACAATAATGTCTTACCACTGCCGAGTGTCACTTTGGGTGTCATAAAAACCCCAATATCAGGGGTCTCCAACCTTTTTTATGTGGTGAGCTACGTGGACAAAACGAAAATGACAGAGAGCTACTAGTTATAAGAAATTAAGTTTATACAAGCCTTAGATGAGGTACAGTTAGATGCCAAAACATAATCCATTATCCATTTATTAGTGCACAAACTTAGGAATCAAAATAATACATGTACAATGGTAAAAGGCATTTAATCAATCAGATTTATGTATTCGTGTAATTCAGAAATCCCTTGGCGAACTACTTGGAAGGGAGTGAAGAGCTACAGTTTGGAGACCCCTGCCTGATATAAATCCAGTGATTAATTACAAGTACAATGTAAGTTAAACTAGACATTTGTCATACACGCTTCTCAAGTTCTGACAGGCTGTTAATCTGCGCCTAAGACCTTTCCGATCAGAAGCCCGGTGGATGAAGGGTCTTGCTAAAGGACACAATGGCACTCGTGATCACAACAGATTTTTTACACTTCAAAACTGTACTGGGGGCTGTGCTTTATTTGGTATTTGAAAGCTCCATATTCAAGTTTTGTGTTTATCTAGAGCTTATTTTTGCATTTCTGGTGTCCAAAGTCGTCAAAATTCATTCTTATACTCTGTTGTAACTTAACGATTTGTAAAAAAAAAATCACATTTGGGGTCAGGGGGGCCGTAAGCGTCTGTGTAACCCAACGTGGGACAGGTGCACGGGACTCTATCTTGGGCCCTGTCTCACTTTGGGGGGGGGGGGTGCGCAGTGACAGGTGGGCGATCGAGACGTGAGGACAGAGGACAGAGGAGAGGACGCACAAAGGCTAAGGGAACAGGCGGCCCCAAGGAAAGGAGACAAGGAGACAAGGAGACAAGGACACGAGGAGACACTAAGGCCAGGGGCATGTAGCGGGGATTAGAGCACAAGTAACAGTAGAGTGACAGGAATGTGCAACAATTTATATGCAACAGGCTACCGGGCTGTTGCTATGGTTACTATTAAATTATTTTATTGGAAATTTTGTGGTGGACTGATTTGTTTAAGCTAATGTTACAGTCATGATAGCATAGTATTAGCAGTCTGGAATTACAAAATTTTGGCAAAATGGCTTTACGCAAATGTTATCAATCCCCTTCAAAATAAATATGCAAATATTTAGATTAAATAAATATAAAATAAATACAATAAATATGATAAAATAAAATGGAAAATAATAAATGAAAAAAGTAAAATATGTAAAAATTTTACTTTCAAAAATGTTAATAATAATAATAATAAAATAAAATATGTAAAATAAATAATATTAGTAAAAATAAATAACATTTATTTATATAACATTTTAATAATAAATTTGGTTAAATAAATAAATAAAATATGTAAAATAAAAAAAATTACATATTAAACATGTGTTTATTTAATTTGGATAAACAATAAAAATTATAAACAAATAAATAATAAATATTTATAAAAATATGTTAAATTAATTAAATTAGTAAAATAAATAAAACTAGTAAAATAAATAATATCAATAAAATAAATAACATGTATTTTTTAACAAGTGTTTATTTAATTTGGTTTAATAAATAAATAAATAAATAAACAGATAAAATGTATAAAATTAATAAAATATGTAAAATAAATAAAACTAGTAAAATAAATAAGATGTATTTTTAACATGTGTTTATTGAATATAATACATAATTGAAATAAATAAATAAAATGTGTATTAATTAATAAAACATGTAAAATTAATTATATTAGTAAAATAAATAACGTGTTTGTTAAACAATAAATTTGTTAAATTAAATAAATACATAAATAAATAAAATATGTAAAATTTATAAAATATGTAAAATAAATAATATTAGTAAAATAAATTAATTGTGTGTTTTTTTTAAATAATTAATTTAGTTAAATAAATAAATAAAATATGTAAGATTTATTTTAAAATATATAAAATATATGCCGAGCTGAGTTCTGATTATGTTTTAAACTCTGTAGAGAGACTTGCCCAAAATAAATACAAAACAAAAAGCGAGAGTCATGTGAGTCTCATTCTGCTTTCTGATTGGATAATAACCTTGAGAACCAAAATTATAACATAAACAACTTTGTCATGGTGTCTAATGTTTTTGTAATTAAGAATAAATCAGTATTAGAATTGTCATCAGTAAACAGTTATATTTATTTTGACCGTGTCCACTTTGTATCTAGGGATGCAGATGTTTATGAAATTTCAAATCAAAATCTCACATACATGCAGCACTTTTTATTTTCTCTTGAGCTTGTGTGACGTGTTGGCCGACGGAGAGGGATGGAGGGGGGTCTGTTATGGCGTTGATGTGTATACTAGCCCATGTGTTTTGTTGTGGTGGTGAAATGCGTGCCCGCTAATGCCCCCCGAATGGCTGCTTTGTGCGTGGGGCCCGGGCACCGTGCCAATGCTGTTAGCAAATGACCCGAGCTAAAGACGCTAAAGAATGAGCTCCACACTCCACAACGCTCCCACAATAACCATTAGGACCATTATCCCGTCCAAACAACCCAACTTCCAGACCTCTGAAGCTGCCCCGTCCAATCAACAGTTCACATGGTCGAGAGAAAAGAAGTTTAAAAGGAATAATTATTTGGAGGAATGCCCGGGAAATGCCAATAAAATCAAATAGTGGTTTACCAGACCATACCGACTGAGAGACTGCTCACTGCTAATATCACTTCTGGCTCCACTTTTGAACAAACTTTTGTGTTGAAATATAACACGCAGATCATTGTTTCATTTTTCATCATGCTGGGGGTGTTCTACGTGTGTCTCAATGGGCGGAATGTCGAGCAGTTACCGTGGAGACGCCAGGGATTTTGAGTTAATATCATGTGTGGCTCAACTTTTCGAAGAAATTTTTTAACGCATGTAGATCATCATGTAAATTTTCATCACGCTAGGGTTGTTTTACATGTGTGTCTATGGTAGAATGTTCAACAGTTACCATGGAGACATGAGGGTTTTTGAGACACTTCTTACTGCCGATAAAATTTCTGGCTCAACTTTTGAAGAAATTTTTATATTGAGATTTAACACATGCAGGTCATTGTTTGCATTTTCATCACGTTGGGGGTGTTCTACATATACCTCTATGGTGGAATGTTCAGCAGTTACTATAGAGACACCAGGGTCATTGAGAGAGATATCGCTTACTGCCAATACAATTTCTGACTCAACTTTTGAAGAAATGTTTGTATTGAAATTTAGCGCATGCAGGTCATCATTTAAGTTTTCATCACACTGGGACTGTTCTACATGTGTCTCGGTGGTAGAATGTTCAGCAGTTACTATGGAAACACAAGGGTCTTTATGAGAGATACCGCTCACTGCTAAAGTCACTTCTGGCTCAACTTCTGAAGAAACGTTTGTATTGAAAATTAACGCATGTAGATCGTTGTTTAAATTTTCATCATGCTGGGGCTATTCTACATGTGTCTCTATGGTGGAAAGTTCAGCAGTTACCAAAGAGACACCAGGGTCTTTGAGAGAGAAACCGCTTGCTGTTATTATAATTTCTAGCTAAAATTTTTAAGACATTTTTGAGTTGAAATGTAACACATGCAGATCATCATTTATGTTTTCATCATGCTGGGGGTGTTCTACATGTATCTCTATGGCAGAATGATCAGCATTTAACATTTACCGACACAATACACAAACCCAGACCCCACCTCAAAGACCCCTGTTCCAAGACCTAAGACCCCAGACCCCAGACTCCAGTTCCAAGACCCCTGACCAACAGATCCCAGGTCCAGACCCCAGTTCCAAGACCCCAGACTCCAGCTCCAGCCCCTAGCTCCAAGACTACATCTCCAGACCACAGACCCCAGACTCCAGATCTTAGACCGCAGCTCCAAGACCCCAGACCCCAGCTCCAGACCCAAATCCTTTCTCCAAGACTACAGCTCCAGACCGCAGACCCCAGACTCCAGACCCCAGCTCCAAGATCCCAGAACACAGACCCCAGACTCCAGACTCCAGACCCTAGACCCCAGCTCCAAGCCCCCAGACCCCAGACTCCAGACTCCGGACCCTAGACCCCAGCTCCCCCAGACTCAGACCAGACCCTAGACCCCAGCTCCAAGACCCCAGACCTCAGACTCCAGACCCTAGACCCAAGCTCCAAGACCCCAGACCTCAGACTCCAGACCTTCCAGACCCCAGCTCCAGACCCAGACCTTAGACTCCAGCTCCAGACCCCAGACCCCATCTCCACCCCCTAGCTCCAAGACAACAGCTCCAGACCCCAGCTCCAAGACCCCAGACCTCAGACCTCAAACTCCAGCTCCAAGACTCCATACTCCAGGGCCAGAACCCAGATTCTAGCTCCAGACTCCAGCTTCAGACTCCAGACCCCAAACCCCAGCTCCAAGACCCCAGACCCCGGCTCTCACCTGGTCCCCGGTGAGGTGACAGGCCACCATGTTCTGCTGCTGGAAGGACGGTGCCGAGCGGATGTATCTGAGCCAGCTGCTGTTGGACGATGACGGGTCCGGTCCAGAACTGTCCAGAGAGAAACGCATAGGCCCCATGTCGTCCACCACCTGCCCAACGAAGAGAAGAGACACAGGTTTAGTGCGGAGAAACGCGAAAAACAACGCTCACATTTTTACACAACCCTTTACATCAAGTTAAAATGAGAAGAGGAGTAAACATCAAGAAAAAACACACACACACCTACAGAACGAGAGGGTGTGTCCACATTTTTGACTGACACCACACATTAGTCCTGCAGTCGACTAAATAAATTGACGTGCCCTCTCAAGCTCCTGAAAACGGGGTGTGACAAAAGCTCTCGACTTACTCAGACAAAACAATGTCTTAGTGACCTTATAGACAGGAAACAATGAATTTATATAAGGACAGATTACACTTGTGAATCACGAGTTTCCCAAGTTTAATCTGCCCTTTTTTGACTTATAAACTTACTTACTTTTAAACACTCTCTAATTTTTTGTCCTTTCTTCTGCTGTCCAGTTTAAATCCTCAGAATCTGCACGCTATACTATTATTAGTCGATTAAAAGTTGCGTAAGACACCGCTGACCAAAGTGAAATACAGGTTCTGTGTCATAAAGTAAAAGTTTTATCCCACCAAAAAGAGTAAACTGGAGAAATCGGAGAGAGGAGAAAGAAAGAGAGGAGGATATTTTTTCTCAGATTGGCCTTTGGACTTTCTTTGCCACAAACCGAAGACCCGGTGTGACCCCAGAGCCTCCTGAGACTCAGACCTGAGGGATTATGTTACTACGATTCACAGAGGAGGAGGAGGAGGAGGACGGAGGGATGAGAGAGGAGGAGAAGGAGGAGGAGTAGGAGGATGGAGGGATGAGAGAGGAGGAGGGAGGAGGAGGAGCAAGGATAAGGGAGGAGAATAGAAGAGGAAGTAGGAAGATAGAGGGATAAGAGAGGAGGAGGGGTGAGAAAAGTGGAGGAGGATGAAGGATAAAAGGAGGAATAAGAGAGGAGGAGGATGGAGGGATAAGAGAGGAGGAGGAGGAAGAGGATGGAGGGATAAGAGAGGAGGAGGAGGAAGAGGATGGAGGGATAAGAGAGAGGGAGGAGAATGGAGGGAAAAGAGAGAGGGAAGAGGATGGAGGGATAAGAGAGGAGGAGGAGAATGGAGGGATAAGAGAGAGGGAGGAGGATGGAGGGATAAGAGAGAGGGAGGAGGATGGAGGGATAAGAGAGAGGGAAGAGGGATGGAGGGATAAGAGAGAGGAGGAGGAGAATGGAGGGATAAGAGAGAGGGAGGAGGATGGAGGGATAAGAGAGAGGAGGAGGAGAGGATGGAGGGATAAGAGAGAGAGGAGGAGGATGGAGGGATAAGAGAGAGGAGGAGGATGGAGGGATAAGAGAGAGGGAGAGGATGGAGGGATAAGAGAGGAGGAGGAGAATGGAGGGATAAGAGAGAGGGAGGAGGACGGAGGGATAGAGAGAGGGAGGAGGACGGAGGGATAAAGGAGAGGAGGAGGAGGATGGAGGGAAGAGAGAGAGAGAGGAGGAGGATGGAGGATAAGAGATAAGGAGGAGGAAGAGGATGGAGGGATAAGAGAGAGGGAGGAGGATGGAGGGATAAGAGAGAGGGAGGAGGATGGAGGGATAAGAGAGAGGGAGGAGGATGGAGGGATAAGAGAGAGGAGGAGGAGAGGATGGAGGGATAAGAGAGAGAGGAGGAGGATGGAGGGATAAGAGAGAGGGAGGAGGATGGAGGGATAAGAGAGGAGGAGGAGAATGGAGGGATAAGAGAGAGGGAGAAGGACGGAGGGATAAGAGAGAGGGAGGAGGACGGAGGGATAAGAGAGGAGGAGGAAGAGGATGGAGGGATAAGAGAGAGGGAGGAAGATGGTGCGATAAGAGAGGAGAAGGAGGATGGAGGGATAAGAGAGAGGGAGGAGAATGGAGGGATAAGAGAGAGGGAGGAGGATGGAGGGATAAGAGAGAGGGAGGAGGAATGGAGGGATAAGAGAGAGGGAGGAGGATGGAGGGATAAGAGAGAGGGAGGAGGATGGAGGGATAAGAGAGGAGGAGGAAGAGGATGGAGGGATAAGAGAGAGAGGAGAGGATGGAGGGATAAGAGAGAGGGAGGAGAATGGAGGGATAAGAGAGGAGGAGGGAGAGGATGGAGGGATAAGAGAGAGGGAGGAGGATGGAGGGATAAAGAGAGAGGAGGAGGAGAGGATGGAGGGATAAGAGAGGAGAGGAGATGAGGGGATAAGAGAGAGGGCGGAGAATGGAGGGAAAAGAGAGAGGGAGGAGGATGGAGGGATAAGAGAGGAGGAGGAGGAAGAGGATGGAGGGATAAGAGAGAGGGAGGAGGGATAAGAGAGAAGGGAGAGAAGAGGATGGAGGGATAAGAGAGAGGGAGGAGGAAGAGGATGGAGGGATAAGAGAGAGGATGGAGGAATAAGAGAGAAGGAGGATGGATAAGAGAGAAGGAGGAGGGATAAGAGAGAGGGAGGAGGAAGAGGATGGAGGGATAAGAGAGGAGGAGGAGGAAGAAGAGAGAGGGAGGATGGATAAGAGAGAGGGAGGAGGAAGAGGATGGAGGGATAAGAGAGAAGGAGGATGGACAGATAAGAGCGGAGGAAGAGAGGAGGCAAAAAATCTTCCATGGAGTAAGAAAAGTTTCAAGTTGCTGGTGGAGGATCTGTCACCTGCTTGTCTCCATGGAGATGTTATTGCTTTGTCTGGAATGTTCCACATTAGAGATTAAACCTGTCTATCTCCATGGAGACAGCTATAGGCTGCCTTACAGGTCAGATCTGTGGAGAGGCGACCTACTCACAGAGAGAATTATTGTATTTTTGACCAATAGAAACACTTGAAACGAATAAAACAAATAAATGCTGAATGGATGTGTTTAATGTCATACCATGGAACATTTCAGGCAAAGCAATAACATCTCCATGGAAACAAGCAGGTGATAGGACTCTCCTCCAGCAAAGTTGTGCAATGCACCTTTAAGTAATCGCTACGAATATATACAATTCTTGCAAGTCAATAAAAAAGAAAAGTTTGTGAAATGTTTTGGTCTGTCTGGATATTTGTATGTAAATGAATAATTTTTCTATAGTGGCATATTCAGTCTTTGCTATCTGGAGGCACTGCTCGGTCTGAAGCTGCGTTGTTAGACTTTAATCTGAGTTTTATTTTAACACAATCTGACCATAAACAACTGACTTAAGTCATTTTAACTTATCTAAAACCACAAATAAGTCACTCTGGAGTATAAGTCGCACCAACCAAAAAATGCATAATAAAGAAGGAAAAAACATATATAAGTTGCACTTTTTTGGGGAAATTTATTTTTATAAAGTCAGAGACCAGGAACTGACATGTCATCTTGTAAGTCAAATTCTAGTAAAAACAATAGAAGAGAGAACAACAGACTGTTAACGTCACATATGAACAGTTCTTCAGATTAAACTATAACATAAACAACAAAACAGAACAAGTTGATCAAACTCTCATCTCACTCCAAATTATTAAATCCATTCAATTCTTCATCCTTGGTGTCACTTCTGAGCAACTCGCTGACCTCTGGAGGTAAAAGGAGTGCCGCTTTGTCTTCTGTGTAGCTGTTGTCAGACTCAGCGTCAGTTCCAGTTAGAATTATTCTGGCCTTTCTGAATCCCGACAGGATGGTTTCGGTGTCAATGAAGTCCAGGTTTTGTCAATTCCAGAAAAGTCTCGGTTGCCATGAAGCTGTTTTCTCCATCCTCGCTTTCCGCTAATCCCTCACAAGCTTCTCGCTCCTCCCAAACTTTCTTTCTGCTGCTCGATTACTGTTTTTGGCTGAATATTTCACTTTTTGCAGCAGGACAGTGGCTCTTTCTGCAGGAGACATGCGCAGTAGAGCCAAGTGACAGTGGTACAGGAGGAACAGGAGCAGCAGAGACTTCAGTGTGAACATTTTAATATATAAGTCACACCGGAGTATAAGTCGCAGGAAACACCCAAACCATGAAAAAAGTGTGACTTATAGTCCGAAAAAACTCTTCTTTCTGCTCCTTTTCATTCATTTCTTGTGTCTTTGATGCTGTGACACCTTTTTATACTTTATGAATGAAATAAATACACAAAGAAAAACAAAAAAACCCAGCCCATTGATAATTGGGTGAGCCGTAAGTTTGCAGAACTTCCACACAAACAAACCCTGTGCGCCGGGCTAACGTCGAGCTTCCGATTTCACCTCCCCCCCGTGCTCCGACACCGATCTGCGCCCCATTCTCCGGGGACGGGGAAAGTCCTCTAATTACTCGCCCCAATCAGAGGTCTATGCTCCCATTCCTGACCCCCAGAAAAACCCTCCAAACCCCCCCGAACACCCCGCTGTCCCACCTGGAAAAGTCTGCCGCGGAGGAGAGGTGTGAGGGAGCAGAACCAAGCCTGGAGTTGACGTTTTTACACGGACACGGGTCTGGAGCGACGCTAACGGCCTGTGAGAGTCGGAGCGGCAGAATGGACGAGCGTGACACCAGGTTTAGAAGCGGGAATGCTGACGGTGTAGAAGAGGTTTAGAGCTGGTTTAGTCCGAGTACAGACCAGGTTTAGATCTTGAGCTCATTGTTTTAGACTTAGACTTAAACTTTAATGATCCACGAGGGAAATGATTTGGACACAGAAGCTCACACATCAATATAATATAATAACAAAGAGTAAAAAATAAAAAAATAAGTAGAAAAATATTTTAAAAAGCAAGAGACAAGTGTCAAATAAGTCATAATTATATAAATGTATATGTAAAAGTCAAAATAAAATAGAAAAATACACAGTTCTGACTCTTTTTCACTGACGAAACTTCCAAACTTTTCTATGACTTTTCCATGACCTAAAGTGAATTTTCCATGATGGCACCTACATGTGTAGAACTGATCAGACTTTTAGGGCTAAATATGAAATGTTTCCACTTTTTCCACTCACGTTATGGTTTGGTTTTATAGTTTTTTAACAATCAAAATACTGTTAGTGCATTTATTCTCATCTCTTTTAAACAAAAGGCGCAGACGTTCAGAAA